CATATTTTTGGGCGTTATGTCCGTTATGTCATTTCGGACATAACAGCCAAAATTTTTTTCGGACATAACGCCCAACATTTTTTTTCGGTCTTAAGCCCAAAATTTTAAATATCATGAAATCCATTAGTTGGTCTGCCTAGTAAAATTAAAAACAATTATGTTTATAATAATAGTAACAATATCAATAAGTTAGTGCCAATAATTTATGAAGTTTTGTTTACGTTTTAATTTAATCACGGGCGTAGGCAGGGATGGGTCCGTAGCCACCCCTATAACATTTTTGCCATGTAAAGTCGACCACACGTTCATAATTATGACGCACTATTTCGCCTTAAAATGGATCTGAGTTAAATTTGTTGAAGTTTTAGCCTGTACCCAAAGGGTGAAAGGCTATAATAGTTTTGTGCGCATGTATGTATGTAACACACAGAAGGAGACGTGGCAGACCCCACAAACCATATATATTATTTGATCAGGATGACAAGACGAGTCGATATGGCCATGTCCGTCTGTCTGTATGAGCGCAAGGATCTCAGAAGGTACAAGAGCTAGAATAACCAAACTTGGTATAGAGGTTCCCCTAAGCTCTAGGCAGGTCAATTTTTTTTCTTCTGATAAACCCCCCCACTCCGCCGAAATTAATTTTTTTTTTTTAATTCCGTAGTTCTTGAAATTTTGAAATAATTTTTGTTACGTACATCCAGTTAGTGCTTAAGTGTCCGTGTGCAAAGTTTCATAATGATAGGTCAATTGTGAAGAAAGTTATAGCCATAAATAAAATCGCTGCTCATGCGCTGCCCGCAGCTGTTGTTGTTGTTGCTGCTTTGGTGCAACTTTGTGCTGCATACATACACGCATAGGCACGTGAAGTAAATGAATGCTGTTAAAACTGAACATAAACATGTATTCTAATTGAATTTAATTACTTAATCAATTAATTGCCTTTTTTTTAATAATTTAATTATTTTTAATTTTTTTTTTTATTTTCCTTTTTTGTGGAGAGTACAGGCTATTTTACTGTCGGGCTTGCTCGACCGTAGCGTTCTCTCTTGTTTTTGAAATGCATCGTGCATTATTTAATCAAAATTTTTATTTATATACCCTGTACCCGTAGGGTAAAAAGACCCCATAAAGTATATATATTCTGAATCAGCATGACGAGAGAAATCGATCTAGACATGTCCGGCCGTTCGTCCGTCTGTATGAACGCAAGGATCTCAGAAACTATAAAAGCTAGAATAACCAAAGTTGGCATCCAGATTCTCCTAAGTCCGAGTAAGGACGAGTTTATTTTATTTTTTTTTAATTTTCCCCCGCTACAGAATTTCGTCAATAGCGTCCACATTTCAAATGCTACCTAAACCAAACTTTGCACACATAATTTATATATATTTATCTACTGTTGTTTAAATTCAATTCGGTGAATTCTAAGAAAAGTTATTAGCAAAACAAATTCTCGCCAGTACAACCCCCACAAACTGCAGCAACAAGTTCGCTCTTCTTCTTCCTCTTTTTGCTGCCGCTTGTTATACTCTGTACATGAAATGTACAGAAGTATATTAGGTTTGCGGGAGCTGAAAAATGTAACAGGCAGAAGGAGGCGTGGCAGACCCCACAAAGTGTATATATTCTTGATCAGCATGACGAGACGAGTCGATCTAGCCCTGTCTGTCTGTCTGTCCGTCCGTATGAACACCTGGATCTTAGAGACTATAAGAGATAGAGACACCAAATTTTGCACAAAGATGCGTTATGTGAGTATTCTATACGAGTTTGTTTTATTTTTTTGATTTTCCCCCCACTTCCCCCCTATGGGGGTTTTCCCGATTTTCCATTCGTATAATCGCCTATATCTCGGAGACTATAAGACCTAGGAACACCAAATTTTAGTCCCAGATGCCTTGTGTGAATACGCAGAAAATGTATGTTTTGGAATTTCCCTCCCCCCTCTTCCCCGCAAATCGCGATTTTCTCTAACTCCCGTAATTCTTGGAATTTCGAGCTCAAATTTTGCAAATACCCCCAGTTGGTTATTATGTGTCCGATTTAAAAAGAAGTTATACCCATAAATATATTTTCTGCTGCAGCGCTGCCTGCGGCTGTTGTTGATGGTGGTGCTTTGGTTGACTGCGAAAATGCTTACACAGACACGAACAGATGCGCATAGGCATACATACACTCACACAGACGCAATTGCTATGTAAATGTGCAATTATACACCCTTTACGTGAGTTCAAATACCGAGAGAGGTAAAATCGATCAAATTTTTTCTTTTTAATTTTCTTTATTTTTGTATTTTTTATAATTATTGTAAACATATGTACAGCGTATTTCAAAGTCGGGACACCCGACTTTATCTTTTTTATTTGTTTATAATGAAACCAATAATGCTTGCACAGCAAATCCAAGATCAGGCGACCATAAAATCAAAGTCGGGACACCATCTTTATCTTTTTCACTTGTTACTTCTTAAAACTTGACGCTTTTGAAGCTCAATTTCAAATCGATTTTGTATACCACAGTTAAAGTTTGCGTTGCGGAAAAATGTTGAAAATGTACTGCTTAGATGACCATTTTGGTAGTTAATCATTAAAGGGGTTGGGCTTGCCGAAGTTTTGCCTAAAAGGTTTGTAAGTCGCGCTGTGCTTGAAGATGATAAATTACACAAGCGGAACAGCAGCTTCTACCCCTTCTCCCTCCAGAAAATTCCTTGCCTAATGGTGCCAACTCGTCTTTGTCGTCGGACCTGCCGTTAAGGTTGAGTTGGCTGTGTGGCTTCCGCTACTGCTTAATTAACGGTAAATTATGAGTTTCAGATACGAATTTTTTAATTATTAAAAAAGGTACACTGAAAAAAAAATAAGTGGAGAAGCGAAAGTCGGGTGTCCCGACTTTCAAATTCTGCCTGTTCCATTTTTCAGCTCGCGCCAAACCTTATACTTATACTATTGTACATTTCATGTACAGAGTAAAAAAAATTAATTTCTTCGACAAATTAATAAAGCCACCGAAAATCAAATTCGTAGCAACAGCTCTGCCTACTAAATGCATTTCCTAACAAGACTTTCAGGTGGTTCCAACTTTTACTGTCATGGTTTCTGTTATGTACTGGTAACCGCTGACTGGGAAAAGTAGGAATTCTTACCCACTAATAAAGAATAATACGATTGCCATAAAACTCAATTTATTACCAAAATGTCGAGAAGCAGTCAGCAACACACAAGCAGACTGTGTCTTTATGTGTGGGTGATTGTACGTGTGAAAGAATTACGACTTGACTTGGCTGCCGCGGCGGCATCTCAGGGCAAGGCAAACGCAATCCCAGCGCCACGCAAAGGAAAGGAAATAGCAACAGCAAATGTTTATGCTGCCATTTTGTTTAGCAATTTCAAGACGTCTTTTTATTTGCTTTTATGTGGCATAGATACATACTTATATGTATGCATGCTTATAAGTGGGGCGAACTCCAGCTCAGTCACCTACGCCTTCGGCGAGGTGATTCGCATTTTTCCTTGACATATTCTAGGAACTTGCCTTTGGACTTTTCTCTATCCGTATTTCCAATTTGCTTTGTTTCTTTTACTCTTGTTTCTGTCATTTCAATTGCTTGTACAGTAGCAATGATGTTTTTGTCTCGCTCCCTTTTTTCCTGGCTTGTACCTGCCGGTTCTTTTCTTGGGTAAAATGGGGGAGGGCTGTAGGGGTAGTTGGTAGAAGGCACATGCAAACAAGGATATACACATCTTCCCGCAAAACAAATCATTCCCATTTAATACTCTATATCTCAACGAGGGCAGTCCGAAAAACACAAAATTTTGCAGGCAGATGCCTTATAAGTATGCGCAGGATGAGTCTGTTATACCCTTACCCAAAGGGTATACTAGTTTTGTGCGTGTATGAAACAGGTAGTAGGCGGCGTGTCAGATCCAACAAATTATATATATTCTCGACCAGGGTGGCTATATAAGATAGACACACCATATTTTGTACACAGGCGCCTTATAAGCATAGGCAGGACGCATTTGTTATAGCCTGTACCCAAAGGGTGAAAGGCTATACTAGTTTTGTGTGAATGTATGTAACACACAGAAGGAGGCGTGGCAGACCCCACAAAGTATATTAAATATATATTATTGATCAGGATGACAAGACAAGTCGATATAGCCATGTCCGTCCGTCCGTCTGTCTGTATGAGAGCACGGATCTCAGGAAGTACAAGAGCATGAATAACCAAACTTGGTATCCAGGTTACCCTAAGTCCTAGGCAGATCAAGTTTATTTTTATACCCTGTACCCGTAGGGTAAAAAGGGTATATTAGGTTTGTGCAAAGTATGCAACATGCAGAAGGAAGTATCTCCGACCCCATAAAGTATATATATTCTAAATCAGCATGACAAGAGAAATCGATCTAGACATGTCCGTCCGTCCGTCAGTCTGTCCGTCCGTCTGGATGAACGCAAGGATCTCAGAAACTATAAAAGTTAGAATAACCAAAGACCCAAAAACCCAGATCCTATGTCCAAGAAAGGACGAGCTTTTTTTATTTTTTGGAATTTTCCCCCCTTTCCCCCGCTACAGAATTTCGTCAATAGCGTACACATTTCAAATGTTACCTAAACCAAACTTTGCACACATAATTAATATATATTGATCTACTGTTGTTTAAATTCAATTCGGTCAATTCTAAGAAAAGTTATTAGCAAAACAAATTCTCGCCAGTACAACCCCCACAAACTGCAGCAACAAGTTCGCTCTTCTTCTTCCTCTTTTTGCTGCTGCTATGGGCACATATAACTCAGTGACGGAAGTTTACCTGGGTACAGGGTATTTCACAGTCGGGCTTGCTCGACTGTAGCGTTCTCTCTTGTTACTTCTGCTATGGGCGCTGTAGCGTTCGCTCTTGTTTTAATTTCTATAATTATTCTAAACATATGTACAGAGTATTTCAAAGTCGGGACACCCGACTTTAGCTTTTTTACTTGTTTTTAAATTTTTTTTTTTTTGCATTTAATTTAGCTTAAAGTCTAGCTTTGTATGATTTTAATTAAATTTGATGTGATCTGGTAGTCCTCGGTTATTGTTTAAGCGTAAGCTGTTTTCCTTCATTAAATTCATCTGCGACACGCTGGCAGAGGGAAACGAGTGGTTCAAAATATTGCAGCTCTCTGGCTAGAGACTTGTTTGGCAATTGGGTGGTAAGTACTGTAGATACATGGCCATATACAAGGGCGTCTAGTTCACACGGCTTGTTTCCACACAGGAAACCTTTGTCATTTAGGTGGTTGTCGCAGAGCAACTCACAACAGCCTGCCAGCTGGTCCAAAACAGCGGCCTCGTCCATGTCCTGCCACTGGTAGACTTTTAGCAGCTGTATCGCTTGACGTCGCCTTGTATGTCGCAACATGGTACTCAACGGCCAGGGATTGGTATTGGTAGTACGTGGGGCTGTGTACAGCTTGTAGATTTGGTCGTCCACAAAGCTCATATGCAGCTCTGCGAGTGAAAAAGTGTTCTCTACATAAGAGACGACGCTTCGCATATCATCGCGTTGCTCCTCGCCAAGCCAGCGGTTAAGCGAGTGGGCACCTTCGTGATCCTGGGCATGACGTTCCACAAAATCGGCGATAGGCTGAAATTCAGCAAGGATTGACTTTCCGGCGCGCATAAGAGGTAGCTTGCTGAGCCTTCCCCCTGGCGACATGTACGTGGCATTAGGGACACTATGCACTGCAAAGGGCAGACAACACATGCGCAAATACACTTGGACAGCTAGACAGCTGGCACGCTCTGGTAGAAGCATTTGGTTGCCTTCCAGCGGTTGGTAGAGATTCAGTTCCAGCGGCCAGCTAAGCTTTTCAACGCCAGCACCCATAGTACTATTGTTTACCGCTAAGCTAGTCTCAAGTGTCTCCATATGCTATGAGTGAGTTAAGGATTGTATGTATATGGCAGAAAATTTTGTTGAAAGTGACAGGATTTGCCTTGCAAGCAAACGAAGAACTGGAATTAGTGTGAACCTTTTTAACCGACTTCAAAAAAGGAGGAGGTTATCCATTCGTCTGTATTTTTATACTCTGTACATAAAATGTACAAGAGTATATTAGGTTTGCGGGAGCTGAAAATGTAACAGGCAGAAGGAGGCGTGGCAGACCCCACAAAGTGTATACATTCTTGATCAGGATGACGAGACGAGTCGATCTTCCCCCCACTTCCCCCTATGGGGGTTTTCCCGATTTTCCATTAGTATAATCGCCTATATCTTGGAGACTATAAGACCTACGGACACCAAGTCCCAGATGCCTTATGTGAATACGCAGAAAATGTGTATTTTGGAATTTACCTCCCTCCCTCCTCTCCCAAGCGAATCGCGACTTTCTCTAACTCTCGTAATTCTTGGAATTTCGAACTAAAACTTTGTAAATACCCCCAATTAGTAATTATGTGTCCGTACGCCAAGTCTCACTATGATAGACCGAACAAGAAGTTATAGCTATAAATATATTTGCTGCTGAAGCGCTGCTCAAGCGCTGCCCGCGACTGTTGTTGATGTTGCTGTTTAGTTGACTGCTAACATGCTTACACAGACACGAATAGATGCGCATAGGCATACATATACTCACACAGACGCAATTGCTATGTAAATGTGCAATTATACACAATTTACGTGAGTTCGAATACCGAGAAAGGTAAAATCGATCAAACATTTTTTTTTTAATTTTCTTAATTTTTTTTATTTTCTATAATTATTGTAAACACATGTACAGAGTATTTCAAAGTCGGGACACCCGACATTAGCTTTTTTACTTGTTATACCTTTACCCAAAGGGTGAAAGGGTATACTAGTTTTGTGCGAATGTATGTAACAGGCAGAAAGAGGCGTGGCAGACTCCACAAAGTATATATATTTTTGATCAGGATGACAAGACGAGTCGATATAGCCATGTCTGTCTGTCTGTCCGTCTGTCTGTATGAGCGCAAGGATCTCAGTAAGTACAAGAGATAGGATAACCAAAATTGGTATAAAGGTTAGTATAAACCCTAGGCAGATCGAGTTTGTTTATTTTTTCTGATACACCCCCCCCCCCCCCACTCACCCACAACTCGTGTTTTTTTTTTTCATAAATCCCCTAATTTTTAGAATTTTGTACTCAGATTTGGCAAATACCTCCAGTTAATGATTATGAGTCCGTATGCAATGTTTCATCATGATAGGTCAATTGTGAAGAAAGTTATAGCCATAAGTAAAATCGCTGCTCATGCGCTGCCCGCAGCTGTTGTTGTTGTTGCTGCTTTGGTTCAACTTTGTGCTGCATACATACACGCATATAAACACGCATAGGTACGTGATGTAAATGTATGCTGTTAAAACTGAACATAAACATGTATTCTAATTTAATTTAATTAATTAATTAATTCATTCATTTTTTTTAATAATTTAATTTTTTTTTAATTTTTTTTTTTTTATTTTTTTTTTTTTGTGGAGAGTACAGGCTATTTTACTTTCGGGCTTGCTCGACTGTAGCGTTCTATCTTGTTTTTATACCCTGTACCCGTAGGGTAAAAACGGTATATTAGGTTTGTGCAAAGTATGTAACATGCAGAAGGAAGCATCTCCGACCCCATAAAGTATATATATTCTGAATCAGCATGACGAGAGAAATCGATCTAGACATGTCCGTCCGTCCGTCCGTCTGTCCATCCGTCTGGATGAACGCGAGGATCTCAGAAACTATAAAAGTTAGAATAACCAAAGACCCAAAAACCCAGATCCTATGTCCAAGAAAGGACGAGCTTTTTTTATTTTTTGTAATTTTCCCCCCTTTCCCCCGCTACAGAATTTCGTCAATAGCGTACACATTTCAAATGTTACCTAAACCAAACTTTGCACACATAATTAATATATATTGATCTACTGTTGTTTAAATTCAATTCGGTCAATTCTAAGAAAAGTTATTAGCAAAACAAATTCTCGCCAGTACAACCCCCACAAACTGCAGCAACAAGTTCGCTCTTCTTCTTCCTCTTTTTGCTGCTGCTATGGGCACATATAACTCAGTGACGGAAGTTTACCTGGGTACAGGGTATTACACTGTCGGGCTTGCTCGACTGTAGCGTTCTCTCTTGTAATTTCTATAATTGTTCTAAACATATGTACAGAGCATTTCAAAGTCGGGACACCCGACTTTAGCTTTTTTACTTGTTATAGCCTGTACCCAAAGGGTGAAAGGCTATACTAGTTTTGTGCGAATGTATGTAACACACATAAGGAGGCGTGGCAGACCCCACAAAGTATATATATTCTTGATCAGGATGAGAAGACGAGTCGATATAGCCATGTCCGTCTGTCCGTCTGTCTGTATGAGCGCAAGGATCTCAGTAAGTACAAGAGCTAGGATAACCAAAATTGGTATCAAGGTTCCTATAAGCCCTAGGCAGAACGAGTTTGTTTATTTTTTCTGATACACCCCCCCACTCCCCCGCAATTCGTATTTTTTCTTATAACTTCCGTAATTCTCGGAATTTAAAAATCAATTTTGGTAGGTACATCCAGTTAGTACTAATGTGTCCGTGTGCCAAATTTCATCATGATAGGTCAATTCTGAAGAAAGTTATAGCCATAAGTAAAATCGCTGCTCATGCGCTGCCTGCAGCTCTGTCGGCAGCGCTGCCCGCAGCTGTTGTTGTTGTTGCTGCTTTTGTTCAACTTTGTGCTGCATACATACACGCATATGAACACGCATAGGTACGTGATGTAAATGTATGCTGTTTAAACTGAACATAAACATGTATTCTAATTTAATTAAATTAATTATTTTAATTAATTAATTCATTCATTTTTTTTAATAATTTAATTTTTTTTTTTTTAATTTTTCCTTTTTGTGGAGAGTACAGGCTATTTTACTGTCGGGCTTGCTCGACTGTAGCGTTCTATCTTGTTTTAAAATGATTTTCCTGCCCATCTCCCCGCCACCGAATTTTGTCAATGCTGTTTACATTTCAAAAGCTACATAAACCAATCTTTGCACATGTAATCTATATATAACTAGCAAGTATTGCCCGTCTTAACCCGGCTCAATATAATGTTTCCAATAATATTTAAATGAACATTTTCTGTTCTTGACAAAAAATTGTTCAGTAGTCCGTTACATTTTTGTTCTTGCCAAACTATTTCGTTAAACGAACATGACCACTATAACTAATATTTTTTAAAGCTCGTTTTCCCCCCTTTGGAGCTAGAATTTTCCAAAAGCCTTTCTTAGTGTGCTCCTGCACTATGATGGATACTATGAAAGGATACTTGAGTCCAAATTTCATCTTTTACCGTTTGGGCTGTGCTTTGATCACCAATTAGTCAGGACAAACTGTTTTATAATAGAGATAACGCAACGTTTTAAGATAGACGATTTGCAAAAAAGGGGGAATAATTATAAGGGTATATCCTAATTTTAAATTCACATTTGAGCCTTTTCGTGTCATATTGAGTCAATACGGTCACGCACAAACTCGGAATATGAAACACGGCACTCGTGTCAATGCCGTGCAGCGATGAGCCACGATCAAAAAGCACTGACAATTCTCATCTCAATTTGCTAGAGTAAAACTTTCGATAGTTGAAGCCACCGATAGCATCAAAATATCGAAGTTTGGATGCAATAAGCAGAATATTTTAATAATAAAATCTAATTATTTATTGAGATCAATAAGAACAAATCATATACATACATACATCTGCCCGCAATGCGAAGCAGAATATGCGTAGTTCCGTTATTCGGTTTCTGCTTTACTATCGCTTACGCAGTCTAGCGCCTAGCGACGGTAACTGTAAACTTTTGGCGTTTTGCCTTTGCAATTAAGAATTAAATGGTCAAAACGAAAGAAGAAGAGCGAGCCAATGATTTGCAGTTGTTGTTGTTTTTAGAACATTATTTTTTTTTACAATTAAACAACTGTGTTCGATTGCCCAATGTATATATTAATACGAATGTACATACATGCTATATTCATACACAGGCATACATACATACACATAGTACATATGTATGTTTCTCTTTACTTTTTCAACCGTACGTAGAGAACCGCACACATAGACACGAACTGTTGCTTGTTGTGTGTGTGAGTGTGTGTATGTGATGTCCCCAACTATTTGATATTTGTTGTTGCTGCATAAAGTTATTAATGAAAACCCTAATGCCAAATGCACTAAACAAAGAAAAAATTACTTTTAAAAATGTTATATCATATAATTTTCAATTAATTAACATTTCTTGCTCTGTCAGTGCAAGACGAATGTACATACATACATATGTAGATACATGTGTACATAGATGTGCACATACATATGTATCTATGGACATTCACACATTAGTGTCTCACATTTTGCTTTGGCTATTTCATTCGTTTGCACGCAACTACACGAACAGCTGTTTGTATGTGTGTGTATGTATACTTAGTTGTCCCCAACTGTTTGATATTTTGTATTGTTTGTTCTGCCTGCTTTTGTAAAATGCATATTTTGAAAATCCTTGAATGCAAAGTTGTAGATTTAGTTACGTAGATTACATTATCCAAATTTTAAATCGATCGGACTAAATTTATAACACAAACTTTTCATTTGAAATGGTGAATAAATATTAAAACCCCAATAATTCAAGCTCCAACACAAATTTCGAAAATCTAAGTATGATTTTAGAAACTAAGTTTTAAGTCGATCGGTTGAAAAATGCGGATTTTTCAAACAAGCTTTGGAGCTACTTTTCCCCCCTTTGGAGCTCGAATTTTCCAAAATCCCTTCTTAGTGCGCATCTACACCATGATAGGATACTTGAGCCCAAATTTCAGCATCCTAGCTTTTACCGTTTGGGCTGTGGGCTGTTGACGC